ATTAGGCTGGAATAGAGGGGGATTCTCTTCCTGTTGGTTAGACTTAAACTCTGGGTAGATAGACACACTTGAAGATACTCTAGTTGTGGGACTGGGCTGGTGCTTGCAACAGGAGAAGGTCAGCATAGAGGTACTCCATAGTAACACAGGAGGAACAGTCATATTACTAAGTGAGAAAAGTAGTTTTAAAACAGTATGTATAACATGATGCCATTTTCTTAAGGATATATATTCTTTGAAGGAAAAGACTGGGCCATATACTATGTTGTTAAGAGTGGCTATCTCTCTGCATGGTAACATTATGGGTGACTTCCCTTTCTTATTTTTCTCAGCTGCATTTTCTATTATTTTTAATAAGTAGCAGAGTTTTCTTTCTTTTAACAATGTCAGGAAATGTTTTGTTTTAAAAAGAAAGAATGGCCAATAGTATTGAAAGTCTTAAAGAGATTGATTTCAGTAAGGCTAAGAACTGTGAAAAATGAAAGGCAATTAGATTTTCTTGGTTGAATGCTCATCACTGACCCATAGAAGAATAATTTTATTAAAGTGACAGGGATGAACAGTCATTTGTAAAGTTCTAGTATCATATTTACTTTTCTGCTAACCCCTAACTTTTAGTAAATCTTTTAAAAAGCAACAGACTTGTTCTAGTTGAACCATGGGGACTTAAGAAAGAGGTCTGGGTTCATAATGTCTGCCATTTCCTAGCTCTAAGAACCTGGGGTAGTCACTTTTCTTCCATGAACTCTGATTTTCTCATTTTTGAGAAATGGGGATAATACATGACCCAGGATTATTGTACGGTCCAAATGGAGTAATTTATTTCAACAATACTCTGAAACTCCAAAGAACAATGAAAATGTAAGGAATTATAATATTCCTCATATTGGCTTATAGACCTTATACATCTTTCTGATTCTGACCCAGACTCTTTGAAATCTTAATCAGTAGAGTTTTACACTTATGTTGAAAATAAGTGCTATGAATCAGTATGCAGTATCAGGTGTTCTATAACAAAACTAGGCTTAATATAACATAAAGTTGAAATAGCTCAGAAAACTGAGGGGGGAGAACAGTAAAATTGTGCCAGAATTCTGTTCTTCTCTACAATTAAAATTCTTTGGGGAAAAATGAGAGAATTCTAAAATAGAATAATGTCTCCAGTGCAGTCAAGGAAATACTTCCTGGCCATGGTTTTATCATTAATAGCAGAAGAACCCAGAGAGATCCTTTTATCTTACTACAATAATAGGAAACCCTCAGATTAATTGAGTGGGGGATCAATTAATTGTTTTCAGTATACATGTGCTGGCACTCTTACACGACTCATAAGAAGTCTGAGTTCTGTCAGATTTTGAATAGCAAGTAATGACTTATGATAAGTCTTTTCAGAACCTAACTTATTGGGGGAACCAATCAAGTAAATATGCCTTTCTCTCCATTGTGGATCCATCTTCAAAAATATTTGTGTTTGCATAGTTAGAGGAAAATTGTACATACTCATCTACAGGCACTTGGCTGCTGCTGAGGAGAGAGCTCAAGTGAATTTGCATCATTTCAAAAAGGTATTTCATCAGCTGAAACAGGTTGTTAAATAAAACAATGCATTAAGTCACATTCTCATAACTTCAATAGGCTTTCCAAGAACATGGTAGACTTCTGTAAACTTTTCCCGCTTTTGATGTGTATCCTCATCTAGCACCCAGTTCAAACACTTTAGGTTAGTAAATAAATGTTTACTAATACTGTAAATGAAGTCATCAGAACAAGTTAAATGAATTTTTATTTCTAGAAAATTGGCAGAAATTTTTTTGCTTCCCCAGTTTCTCTTGCACCAGCCATATTGTAGGCAACAATGTTCCAGAACCCACATTGACCTTTGGCACTGCCAGCTATCCTCCAAACTTTCCATTAAGATCTGTTATATCCCTATTTTTGAAATCTGTTATAATCCCTCGCTGTACTACTTTATAGTACAGGTTTAGTTTAGTACATATCATGACTGTATCTGAATTCTATTTAGTATGCTATCTTCAAAGGGATTTTCTGGTTTCTAAGCATACTTTTTGCATAGAAACAATTTCAGGACTTGGGTAACCTGGTGTGAAGTGCCCACCTAAGGTATGAGCACATTTAGGATGTTATGGGACTCAAGGTAGGCGTTCATTATAATTTTAATGGCCTTCAGAGATATCATCCAAGTAGGCAGGGCTCTGATTAGAGTCAGAACAAAATATATAAAGGTCTTCTTGTCAAAAAACTAACAGTGAGGAAATACACAAATTCAGAGACAATTTTAATTCAATGTGATAAGTCTCTGAAAGGTAGGCACATAAAAATGTCATCCAACTAATTATTTTGTGAATCAAGACAGGATCAGAAGAATCACCTACAGGTTGTGATCAGAGACGAGTGAGGTTTAAATAAATCAAAAGAAACAGTTGGGAAATGGATTTCTGGACCATTTAAAGAGCAAATATATTCTAAAAGACAGTGACTATTTAGGCCTTCAAAGATTACTTAGACTTCTTGCTCTTGCCTCTTTTTCTGCTTTGTCTATACAAACTTTCTTTGTGAGAACCCAGCATACAGAAGGAAGAAATAGACAGAAAGGAGTTTAATTGTGAAAAATTATTTTCTAGGTTGATTTTCACTTTTGTGTTATTAGTTTTTGAGGAGGGTATAGAGGGGAGTTTTGGTATCTTGTTGAAGTATTTGTGTTGTGAATCCTGAAAATTTGCACAGGCATTTAATAGGTGTACAGCTTTGGGACATGCCAATGTATTAATACATTTTATAGAAAAAATTTCACCATTTAGCTGTGCACATGTATTAATAAACAGATTTTGTTGTGCAATCAACATACTAAAAGGTGTGCTTTTCTCAGGCTTCAGCATTAAGATATCACTTTTCTTTCTGTAATAAATGGAACAGCTGATTCCTTCCTTCATTCCTTCAACATGATTCCACTTATGGAAGCCAGTGCAGCTGGCAGAGCTGTGGGAAGAATTGGTCTCTGAGTAGATGACAGACAAGTGTCTGGTTATAGTACATTCTACAATAATTTATAGTGGAGAGAACTGCCTTATTGACACCTTTGTTCTACTTTTAAGATGACAGAAAAAGTAGCATGAACTTAGAGAACTGCTCATATTCCTAGTCTGTATGATATAGACCACTTTGTTTCAAAGGTAATTTGACTTCAGTGTTTATGGCAAACCAAGTTTGTATAGTTTTATAAATTTATAAGCCATACATCTTTTATTATTTAAAAAAGTTCTGAAATCTTTTGGAAAATTCCAGTTGGTCTTCCTTTCAGGTATTCTCTAATTTGTAGATTGTTCTTATATATTGTCTGTCTGTAATGGTGTCTCTTACCTCTTTCTCTCCAGTTTGTTTTCTGAGTCAAGTCCTCTATTCTATAGAGGGGTCTTTAATTGACTGACTCATTTTCTCTGTTGATTTTTTTCTTGTGTATTATTTCTTTTTTTAATACCTTACGATTTTCACTTAAATTGTGTCAATTATTAGATGTTTTTCAATGGTAGAATTAGGAAAACTATTAGTATTATCTCATTTGAGGGCTTGGTGACTAAAGAATATTTATTTTCACTTTGATAGTGGCTTAATTTCCTAGAGAAGTCTGCTTTTTTACATATGTAATGTATCTTTTGATACATTACATATCTTTTTTTACATTCACTAGGTGTAGCACTTTGCTTTAGTCTGGTGACAATTATCATAAGGATTTTAAATTGTTACTTTAGAAGATGTATAAACCATCATGAATAAATAACCCTTAGTGACATATTTACTATATTCAGTTCAGTTCAATAAACATTTAAAGTTTGTCTATTTTGCTGCACATTTTGCTAGGAGCTAGGGTTATAAATAAATAAGATACTATCTCTAGTGTAAAGATATTACAGTCCAGTAGGGAGAAAAGATGATATAAATTTTGATTTTGAGCATGGACTGCCTAGACTTCACATGTTAAGAATTCTTTGAAAATATAAAAACAGATCTATTGTTTTCTCTTAGGTATTTAGGATACACCTTCTACCAGCGTATCTAAGAATTCATTTGTGGTCTTTTAATAAAAGTTGAAATGCCTGCTCATATATCCATTAATTTATCTTAAGTATAGATAAATATTGTTCGTATATCAGATATTATCTATAGAATAAAGAGCTGTGCAATTATTATGTTGTATATATAATATATATTTTACTGGACTATGGTTTAAAAAAAACTATGAACAAATTCCTTCGCACACTGCACATATCTAATTTTGAAGTAAAGAAACAAATGGGCAAAAACACCCACATGTGGCCTGCGGGCCCTAGTTTGAGGACGCCTGGACCTTATTGTGCATAGCGCTGCATATTCATGGCCAAGAAATACATTGAACTTTCCCTGGGGGCTATAGGAACAGTTTTCTTTTTCTTTACATGAGAGTCAAAGAAGGCCTATTTCAGCAGTAATCAACATGCAGACAGAAGTTTGGTAAATTTAAGTCTCAGAACTCCCCCCCTTCCCCCCCCTCCAATTTAGGATGTTTTCTAGAGAAACCGAATCCTGCCTGTCTTCAGCTTCCTTGTTATCCTCTTTTATGGTCACTTACAAATGGAATTTCAGCATGTCCTGCCTCCTTTAGAGGAAGTGTTCACAAAAACAGATTTGCATTTATAATAATTCCATATAGTTCACGCAGACCAATTGGCCATTAATTCTTTGGATTGTTATAGCAGTAATGACATTGATGACAAACTATTTTCCTATTTTCATTAACAGTAAGGAAATGAGAAGTGCTATTTTCATGGGATTTCCTCTGAACTTGGCATTTTGCTAATGACATTTTCATTTTAGTGAGACTTTTATTTCCATATAAATAACCAGTAGATATTTTATCTGTGATCTAATAACCATTGATAGTTACAAATATTTTGATTTTATAACATATATTTTTTTTTTCTAATACAGGCTTTTCTAATAACCCTCCGGGTTTGGCTGTTCTTGTCATCACAGTTTCCTGGAGATGGCAGCAAAGTACGCAGAAGCAAGGGCACCGACCATAACATAAACAAGTGGCGAGATTAATGGCGCTGTGCAGCTCTGGGGATGACTCTGACGAAATGCATCAACCTCTTCTGCTCTCAAATGACAGGGCAGGTAAATAGAGAGTTGATATATGTATTAATTTCATTTTTAATTATGTCGGGTAGCTTCCAAAAACTCCTGCACAAACTGCTGCTTTTATTTTATTCCTCACCTGCAGTCAAGCCCAAGGCTTTCCTGTCTCCCTGCTTATTTGTCGCTGCTCTTGTTTCTTTTCTGGTAGAAGTATTGGGAGATCTCCACAACAAAAAATCTTTTGAAACCTTTATTTTATGGACCAATCTACAACATTTTTTATCCTTACTTCATTTTCATATAGCTATTTCTAATCTTGTAGCGCACTGCATTTCAATCCCTCTGGGTTGTCAGATTTTCCGAATCTATAATGGGATGATTAACTGGCAGGGCGATGCACAGGCTAATAACAGATTGCAAAGGACATCATATCAGACATTGTAAAAGCCCTCTTTATTCCAAAGTATACATCTAATAATGCCCCAGCAGACATGAGTAATGAGCATTGTACCCAGAATAACAGGGACCCTATCGCCTTGGAATTTGTGCAGAAATGTTATTAAAATGAAAAAGAGAGAACTTCTTTCTACTGAATTGCAACTGTTGGTTTCAATGCTAAACTTGTTTGTCAAAATGCTGTTGCCTGGAATCAGTGAAAGCTTATATAAGACCAAAATATTTCACAAGTTGGTTGAGTACTATAAGAAATTTTGCTTTGGATGAGCTAAATGAAGAATTTTTATTTAAAGATCTAGTGTTTTTCAGCTAAAATATATATAATGATCTTGTAAGAGTATTTTTGAAGTGAACTTTACTTTTAAGATGAGAGGGGAAAAAAGAACATTCTTGATGATGGATAAAGCTTTCTAACACTGGATCTTGAACATAAAGTTTAAAAAAAAGAAGGATATTTATTTTTTCAGACAATAGATAAATAAGAAGAATTGATCAAATTGTTGTTTTTGGTTAGATTGTTTAGTTAGTATAATACATTTTGTTGCAAATGAGAACTTGCTTTTTAGCTGGAAATATACCAGAGGCATCATTCTGTATTTATATGCTGTGGAAAGTTCTGAAGCACTGATTTGCATTCAAACAATTGCTGGGCTAAATACAAATCATTTCCATGTATTTCTTGAGGGGAGAACTTGGGATAAGGGAAAGGAGCACTACAAGGAAGATCTGCAGGCTTGGCTTCAAATTTGAGTGCTGTTTTTGGTGTAATCATTTAACCTAAAGATACTTTGTTGTGGGGGGGGGGCGGCTTGTTTACATGCCATATGAAACTTCTTGAACTTTATGTTTCTTCATCATGATATAATAGAGTAAACTGACAGACTTGAATCGATTTATAATCCTGGTAAAATAGAAGGACATTTGAAGGGTGTACATAGTCATACTATAAAGGATGGACTATGAAAAACGACATTAACTAGTATTAGTATCTCTCCCCCCATTCTTATCCTATGGAAAAATGTCTCCAGAAAGAACTTTTGGAGGGCCCAAACTTCCCTTCTCTTACTCTAGAGATTTTTTTTGCATCAGAGGCTTTGAAAGGGAAATAGGTAGAATAGGGTTTATAATGGAGAAGCAAAAGTGGCCAAATTTGTGGGTGACAGAGGTGGAAAATGGTTAAAGTTCTTGAGATTTAGAGCAGGGTTGGGAGTTTGTGTCTCTACTTGTATGCCACATCCTGGGTGGGTGCTGGTACAGATTCTTGTAACAGTAATGATGAGAACAATAGCTATTTTTTGCTGCACAATTGCCAAGTACCAGGTACTCTTTTGGGTGCTTTATGAATATTGACCAATTTACTGCTTACAACAATCCTTTGTGATAGATTCTGGTACTGGTATATTATACTAATTGTACAGATAATAGTCACAGACAAGTTAAATAACTTACTGAAGTAAAAAAGTAAGTGAACTTGAACATGGTGGTCTGAATCTGTGCCCTTAATGAATGGAAACTTGCATTGTTGGCATGAAGGCCACATGTGTCTCTCTGTAAACACATCTGAATCCTCTAAGGGCAGGAGGACCAGTTCTTGATAGCAGCTTGAAGGAGAAGAAAAAGCAATGTTTAGGATCAGCACGAGCTAGGAACTTGGTCCCTTCCAACTTTTCTGGAATAATGTAAGCTGTCATCCTCAAATTCAGTGGAGGGCAAAGTAACCCTAATAATGACTGAGATTGGATTCCTGGCCAGCGAGGCAGGCAGGCAGGAGCCTGCAGCTACATACGTCCAAGCCATATATCCAACTGTCTTCTTATCATCTTTAATTGGCTTTCTAATAGGCATTTCAAGCTAAACATGTCCAAAATTGGGCTCTTGATTTTCCCCTGGAATCAGTTCTTTCCATGGTCTTTTCCACCTCAGTGAAGGCAGCTTCAGTGTTTGGCTTATTCAGCCCCAAACCTCTGATTAATCCCTGACTTCTCACTTTCTCTTACACTCCATGAGTAGATTTTCAACAAATCCTCTTGACTCTCCTCTAGCAGAATTTGACCTTCTTCCCTGTCCTCACTGACACCACCCTGGCCCAAGTCACCATCATCTATTAATTACTACAATAGCCTTTGGACTGGTTCCCTGCTCCTGCCTTTACCTTTCTTTAGTCTATTCTCAGCATAGCAGCCAGATATACACTCTTAAGCACAGGTCAGACTATGTCACCTTTCTGTCCAGAATACTTCTATGCCTTCCCCTCTCACTCAGAGAAAAATTCAAGGTCTTAACCATGACCTGCCAACCCTGTGGCATCCAGCTCCCCTTTTCCCTGATTTTACTACTACCACTCCCATCCTTTTCTTTCAGTCCCCACCATACCAGTCTTCTTGCTTCTACTTGCAGTCCCAGCTTTTGAACTCGCCGGCTCTCCGCGTGAAATGCTTCTCTCCCACTGTTTGCATGGCTAATTAACCTCACTTCTCTCTCATCTAAAAGCCACCTTCTCATCTGAGGCCTTCCCTGGCCATGCTGTCCAAGATTTAATCTCCTCACACCTTTAACAATTCACATCCCTTTCCCTGCTTTGTTTTTCTTCTTGGAACCTAACACTATCTAATATATATTTTATTACATTTACGTATCATGCCTATTATCTATATTTCTCACCAGAATGTCAGCTTTCCATGAAGACAAGGATTGTTATTTTTTTAATCAGTGTTTTATCTCTAGCACAGTGCCTGGAACATAGCAGTTACTCAATAAATGCTTTCTGAATGAATGAATTTGGAGACCCAAAAGAATGCCATATGCCTTGCATCAGAGGGATGTGCACAAGATTTATTCTCGCTGCCACAGTGTTTGGATTATAATGGATGTTAGTTAAATTTTTATCCAACTTTACAAGCAGGCTGATAAATGAATAAGTAAGAGTACAGCCTGACAATTACATTTTCAAGGCATTTAAAATATGTGATATAATAATAAAGACAGTTTATCACTTGCTCTTGTCCAATTGACTTAGGATACAGAGGACACATAGGACACTCTCTGTGCATTATCATTTCCCCCCTCCCTTTCATTAATTAATTAAAATTCACCTAGTTGGTGTCCAGTTAGTTGATAACCTCTTTGATGCCTCATTTGTTAGTTACTTTGTCACTGAGACTGATGTATTTAATTCCCACATAATCGTTGGGTAGATTGGACCAAAGGCTAAGAGCCTGGATACATTGGTGTGGTAGGTCTAGCCACAAATATTATTTATCTCTCTGCTCAGGAGCTCTTTTCCGACTGTGGAACTCTATATCCTTATTTCATTTCTAACATATATATGAGTGCCTTTTAGGGTACAAAAGGATACCCAGGTTACCCTAAGATATAAAAATACATAATAGTGGTTGCCTCCAAGGATCCTATATTTCTGGCTTAACTTTGCATAGCTTATTAACTCTGCGTTCAATGAGAAAGGGAAAATTTGGGATTGCCATGGACTCAAACCTTTCCTAGAGAGAAGGGAAGGATGGTCTGTAAGCAATGACAAGCACCCTAAGGAAAGAGGTCTCGATAAGAGATTTCAAAAGGTAGACATCTGAGAGTAGAGGAGTCAAAAGCTTAGATGGTTAGAAGATGGGACCCAGTGGTTATATCATTTCATGGAGTTGGGTGGGAGATACTAATTTAAATTGAATAGCAGATTTTAGTTTGTTTAATTTAGAAACACATACCTGGGTACATATTCTCTTGTTGTTGATATTCATGATGGAAACATCCATCCATTGACGAGGTAGAAGTGAAAACTAGAAGAGCAACAACTAGCTCTGTAATAGAATCTTTTTTATGTTTTTATTTTATTTTGTTTATTTAGTTTTTTTGAGACAGACTCTCACTCTCTTGCCTGGGCTAGAGTGTCTTGGCGTCAGCGTAGCTCACAGCAATCTCAATCTCCTGGGCTCAAGCGATCCTCCTGCCTAAGCCTCCTGGGTAGCTGGGACTACAGGCACGTACCACTGTGCCTGGATAATTTTTTTTCTGTTTTTAGTTGGCTAATTTCTTTCTATTTATAGTAGAGACGGGATCTCACTCTTGCTCAGGCTGGTCTCGAACTCCTGAGCTCAAGCAATCCTCCTGCCTCGGCCTCCCAGAGTGCTAGGATTACAGGTGTGAGACATCACTCCTGGCCTGTAACAGAATCTTAAACATGCAATTTCTTACATTTTTAGCTCCATAAAAATTGTTACTGAATTTTTAAAACATGTAAGTTAAAATAATTGGAGACAAAAGATCTTTCTGTTTTAAAATACAAAAGGATGCCCTCTGTCAGGCAGAATAATGGTACCCTAAATATGTCCACATTCTAATATCCAGAACCCATGAATATGTTCCCTTGGCAAGGGAGACTTTGTGGATGTGATTAAGTTAAGGACCTTGAGAGGGGGAAGTTGTCCTGCATTATTTGGATGGGCCCAATGTAAGTACAAGGGTCCTTATACATGGGAGGCAAGAGGGGTAGAGTAGATGTGGTGATAGAAGCAGAGGTCAGGGTGATATGGCCACACCAGAGGATATGGGCCACCTCTAGAAGCTAGAAT